CACGGTGGTCGATTTCGTTGATATCGAGCATGGAGCTATTAGTATAATCCGACGGCAAATTATTGTTTAAGTATCTTTGATACCGCTTCTAATTAGCTTTTCTGTAGTTGTAGGAAAATGTGTAATTTTTTTCGGGAATTCAACTAATTTCGCATATAGGAGGCATCTCCTAGTGTCGGCTTGAATATATGAGCAATCATGAGAAAACCGAATTTGGAAATTATTCTGTTGGTATTTTTCATATAAAATATTTCCCCAAGAATTATTGCTGGAACAACCCCAATACGTATGCCTCGAATTAAAATCGTCTCTAATAATGAAGTTTCTATTTGAGGTAGTTAACTTTTGGATGTCTAATTAAATCGTCTGTTGATAGATCTCTGGTCCCACCATTAAAGTAGCATGAGTATATATTTAAGATGCCGTTTTCGGTTTACATTGAGACACCAATGTTTTCGATCAATGACGTGTTTATTATGGGTATTAATTGCAACTATTCCCTTTTAAACCAAAATGGCAACTCCTCTCTTTGATCATGTCGATCCTTTCTGTATTTAGCCAGGTTTGATTCAGGAGGCAAATATCAATATTTTGGTGGTCCAGAAAATAAAATAGTTAATTTAGTTTGTTTCGAACGCCTCTTGCATTCCATGACACAATTTTATTTAATTTTAAATTATTAAATTTCAAATTATTCAATATAGAAATTTGAATGCAAGATAACTTCGAATTGGTCAGCTTTAGTTTTACATCTGCTAAGATTTGTGATTAGCTCTACTGTTAAATTTTTCATCTCCTCCATGGAAAATGATTGATTAGGTTGATTTTGTGGAACGGTCCATGTGTTTGATGGCAAAACACTTTCCTGGTTTAATGCATTAGGAATAGCGTTATTGTAGTAAGAGGAGCTATTGCATTGCAAACTACGCTTTGCTCTACTCTTTAATTAATATTTTTGTCTAATCTCGAGAAATGATTTTCTCGCAGGATATTCTGTTGAATTTTATTTATGGCTCCATTACAGTTAGCACATTTTACTGTGATACTTTTACAATGGGCAGTATTGTGATTTCCTCCGCAATTAGCACAAAAAGTTTTAACATTGCAAGAACTTGAGCCGTAACCAAGCATCTGGCAGTTGTAAAATTGAGTAATTTTATTTCTGCTAGGTCTCTGGTATTCCCAGCGAATTTTAAGGTGATTGAAATCGGAATAGCGTAGTCGCAGTTCTTTAAGACTTCCTTTAAAAGTAAACAACGTAGATAAAATTTTCTGGAGCGGCCTTTTCAATTTTCCTTGTTACTATCTTAACATCGACACATTTGAGACCCATATTAGTAAGCTCAGTTTTAATTTTTTTTTGGATCCACTTTGTCCAAATCCAGCAAAATGGCATTGTATGGTTTATCACACTTAATTGTGTATGTGAAAAAATCCACCTATAGGTTTGTCTTAAATCGTTGGCAAATTGGCTCAACATCGCAAGTTTGAGTTAGAAAAAGTTCAGTCCAATTGAAATTTTTTTAATTGAATAATTCGTTATTTTTAGAATTCTGCATAGCTCATGCATCTGTTCAATCATGCACTTTAGTATAGTGATTGGAGGCACCTCAACTTTTGTTGAAGAATCGATAATAACTTCATCATTATTAGTGCTAACGTCATCAACTTCATCATCATCTTGAGTTTGGAGTGGTAAAAAGTAGTTTTGATTACCTACTCTTTGATGAGAAAAGTTTGGTTTTGGCTTTTTACTCATAGTAGTCAGCCTGAGAGATATATTATCACCTTCGTCGCATTGTCTCTTTATGTAGCTTTTGGTGTTGATCTTCTACAAACACTTTAGGTTGCAGACACCTTCTTCTCTTTCGGATTTTCCAGATCTTTAAAAAAACCGCGAATCCTTATACCACGCTTGTTGGAAATATCATTCTATGTAAGAATTGCTTGTATTTTCAACAATCTGCCGTGTAATCTTAAGATATTTAATTCCTCCTTAAAATGCTATGAGCGTAAATTATATGCTCACTTCAATCAAAATATTGTTTGCATAGTTGATTCATCTTATTAATAAATATATTGTTATTTTTGCTCATCTTTTTGATTTTTGTTAATTTTTAATTTTTTAAGATTAAGAATATCATGAATAATTTTAGAATAATAAGAATTTACAGACGTGAAAAACTTAGCAAATTTCAGTATCATATTCACTATTATCGACTTTTAATATACAAGGTTTAGATTTTTCTTTTTAAATTTACAAAATCGTATTTACATAATATTTGTGCGATCTTCAAGCTTCTATAGTATACCTTGATGTAGCAATTTAGTAATTAAGAAGGAAGGTTTTTGGAACTTATTTTTTCGATTTTAGGAATACAGTCTTGGAAAAATTTGTTCAAAATGTTTTAAAATAAATTTACTGTGAATTCAAGTTCATTAATATTATTACAACAACATAAATAAATCCAATTAGTGAATTTAGTCTACGAATTTTTTTTTTTTTTTTTTAATTAACAACTTTTTTCGCTGGTTGTGTTGAGCTTTTCCGAGTTATTATACTAATAACTTAATATACACATTAATATACACAACGTTGGATGATAATTACCTTCTGGTGTTGAGATAGCAGGGATTCTTAAGAGTTCAAAATACTGTGTGATATTAACAAATGCTAAATCAAGATTTTTTTTTATTTGATGAAGGTCTAAATTGCAAACGATGCACAACACAAAATGAATAATGGTTAGTATTCCCAGATAATGTTAAAAGAGTCATTGATTCTGAATCTGGTAAAATAAGAGCCACTAATGTCAAAGTTACAATCAACAAGGACCCAAATATAATCAATAATATCCATTTTCTGCACTATTGATGCTATTGCTGAAATATGGCGAAAATATAGAGCAACTTCTGACGATGGGGGTATATAAGAGCATAAGACAAATAATACACATTTGCCCAAATCGGCAATTATGCTGATAAATGCAAATTCAAATCTTTTGGAGGGTTATGTTTTATCAGCAGAAATTATAAAAGCTGCCTTAGCTGTGTTGGCAGTTGAAAAATCTTTCAAAGTTTTTTACTCCTAAGAGTATGGATAGAAATACCCGCTGCACCTTTAGTGTTAACAAACCTTTCAGTAACCTCCGTTATAGCAACCGTGAGAGAGATTGCTTTGTCATTTATAAACCTTTACCATTTTGCTAGCTTAAGATACAAATTCGGGACATAGTGGACATTGCAGCACAGTGGATTGCACAGAAAAAACCAAATAAAAATCATTTGTCAATAAATATGATTTTTGATAAGTGTAAAATAACCCTACAACACTACAATATGTTAGAAGCCCTCTTATGGCCACATCATTTTTCAAGATTACGCTTTTGAAATTATGTCACGGAGCACTGCCCAGATATTACCCTTAGCATTTTCAACAGGGCATCTGCCCAATATTTACGCACTCCGCCGTGCTTTTAGTTGTTGTGGTTCATTTTACAGCTAAATATAATCCAATGGTCAACCAAAATCCTAGAATTTATCCCTGTTCTCAACTCTTTTCTCAGGCGTGTCGATTGGCTTCAATTGTGTGATAAGCAATTTTTTTCTATTTTTTTCAAAATAAATTTACTGTGAATTCAAGTTCATTAATATTATTACAACAACATAAATAAATCCAATTAGTGATTTTAGTCTACGAAAATTATTTATTTTATAATCAACAACTTTTTTCGCTGGTTGTGTTGAGCTTTTCCGAGTTATTATACTAATCAGGGACATTAATATACACAACGTTGGATGATAATTATCTTCTGGTGTTGAGATAGCAGGAATTCTTAAGAGTTCAAAATACTGTGTGATATTAACAAATGCTAAATCAAGATTTTTTAATTTACGATCATAGCATTTTAAGGAGGAATTAAATATCTTAAGATTACACGGCAGATTGTTGAAAATACAAGCAATTCTTACATAGAATGATATTTCCAACAAGCGTGGTATAAGGATTTGCGGTTTTTTTTAAAGATCTAGAAAACTTAAACAGATCCGAAAGAGAAGAAGGTGTCTGCAACCTAAAGTGTTTGTAGAAGATCAACACCAAAAGCTACATAAAGAGACAGTGCGACGAAGGTGATAATATATCTCTCAGGCTGACTACTATGAGTAAAAAGCCAAAACCAAACTTTTCTCATCAAAGAGTAGGTAATCAAAACTGCTTTTTACCACTCCAAACTCAAGATGATGATGAAGTTGATGACGTTAGCACTAATATTGATGAAGTTATTATCGATTCTTCGACAAGAGTTGAGGTGCCTCCAATCACTATACTAAAGTGCATGATTGAACAGATGCATGAGCTATGCAGAATTCTAAAAATAACGAATTATTCAATTAGAAAAATTTCAATTGGACTGAACTTTTTCTAACTCAAACTTGCGATGTTGAGCCAATTTGCCAACGACTTAAGACAAACCTAATTGTGAATTTTTCACATACACAATTAAGTGTGATAAACCATACAATGCCATTTTGCTGGATTTGGACAAAGTGGATCCAAAAAAAAATTAAAACTGAGCTTACTAATATGGGTCTCAAATGTGTCGATGTTAAGATAGTAACAAGGAAAATTGAAAAGGCCGCTCCAGAAAATTTTATCTACGTTGTTTACTTTTAAAGGAAGTCTTAAAGAACTGCGACTACGCTATTCCGATTTCAATCACCTTAAAATTCGCTGGGAATATCAGAGACCTAGCAGAAATAAAATTACTCAATTTTGCGGAGAAAATCACAATACTGCCCATTGTAAAAGTATCACAGTAAAATGTGCTAACTGTAATGGAGCCATAAATAAAATTCACCAGAATATCCTGCGAGAAAATCATTTCTCGAGATTAGACAAAAATATTAATAAAAGAGTAGAGCAAAGCGTAGTTTGCAGTGCAATAGCTCCTCTTACTACAATAACGCTATTGCAATATTTACAATAAAAGTATTCTTACCTCCGATAGCATAACTATCGTAGTTATACTTTGTTCCAGAACCATTCTCCAAAAATCTTCAATGGTGGTATCCATTGGGTCTTGAGTTATAATAAAATTTTCAGTGTTATCATAGCCTTCGATGAATGATGCGTTAATATAAGTCGAACTTTCTTTGTTTGGCATTGGGGAAAGGATAACCTACCGATAAAGAAAAAAACATTTTAATAACAGTATGTTTTTTAACAGGTAATTACAAACCCTGTTCCGATCATATGGAAGAACAAGTTCACTTCGATTTTTCACCGCATTATGCTCACTTCCACCAACAGAACAAGTCTTGTTGGTTTCATCATTTATGGTTTGAAGTTTCTGCAATGACACGATATAAATAAACGTTTATTATTATGCATTTCGGGTTCTGGGTTTTTGAAAATATTACCGAAACAAACCAAATTTAAAAAAAGATTGGTGTAGAACAGGGTAAGGCCAAAAAAATGGTTTTTTGAAGAAAGATTATTTTTTTTTTTTTTGATTATTGATTTATATTATATTTTTACCAATACACCGTTAGAAATATTTGAGTACATAAATATAACTTTCTACATTAGGAAATTATTTCCTTAATTTTAAAACTTACAGCTGCACATATATGTCTTATACAATTAATTTTTTTATCTGACAGAATTTGTATTCCAAATTACATATTATAACCAATTAAAGTTGTATAAAAACTTATATTTTGCTGAAACTAACAAAATATGTCTCTCTGTTTATAGAGAGTCGTGGTATAGAGGGTGTATCTTTAGCACACAAAACAAATTCTTTACTATACACAAAACACTAACAAATTGATATTTGCTGTCGTTAAAAGATTTAATAAAATTACCACAAGTTTATATAAGCATAACAATTATAAATGGTTGTGCTTACCTCAAATTCCAGTTCCAATTTACACTTTTCCCTGCCATCCTCCGTCTTGGATTTGAGATGTTCCACAGTCATTGATAAGCCAATGGCACTTATCTCCGTATTTCCCAAGTGTGCAGTGTCCAATAACGCTCTATACAGAAATATGTATTGTTTCTGGAAAATGTAAGATTTATTGAATTGTGAAAAGTAAAAATGAATTATGGAATATAAAAAAATATTCAATAAATGGTATATTCAATGAATTATAGTACTACAACTTTGAACTACTGAGTTAAAAGTTTTATTTCTTTTCAATCCGAAATCTCCAATGTTTACCATCTTTACTAACAACGTTTTGTTTCCTCCGTTCGCGGAAGCATAGCTGAATGCTACCGGACGCGTCCACAGGTTGTGGATAGTGGGACGGCCGATAGTAACATCGGGCAACTGCGAGTTAAATAAGCAGTCGCGGACAGCTCAGCGGTTTCTAGAGGGAGAGTCGCGGACTAAATACCCGAGTGCCTATGATCCCGAAGGCGAAGTCACTGGCGCAACTAAACTATCCAGTCAACGGACTAGTCCAACACAACGGACTCCATAACACTGGAGTGTTACGTAAACCGTGCTCATTAGTACAAACTGTATTCGAACAGTTGCCTCGTTGATACCTGGGTGCCTCGACGAGTAATAGGCTTAGGTGCCAAGTCCTTACCATGATGTGGAGGCTATGTCATGGCGGACATCGTCAACTCCAACGTCCACATTTCGTATGGAGAACAATTTAAGAACTAACAACAACAAAACAAACACCGCACACCTCAAGCTCCGGCCGCGGACAAGATTTTAATTGTGGGTGGGGACGAGACTCTGCAGACGTACCGAGACGTAGTATGCGAAAGCATACAAATAAAGAGTGAACAGCTGTCTGCCCCGCTCGAGAAGACCAAAACCCTAAGGCTTAGCCAGGAGAGTGTACCATCTGGTTTCGGGAATGATTCACCACTTTCTTATGAGGAACTCGACGTCACTGTCATACCCTTATCTGAGAGAGATGTATCCGTCCAGGAAGCTGAAGAGGTTGCTCAAACTGGCGCTCAGATGAGGCCAAAACTCGATGAAGGAGTTTTTTTATCGGAGCACACCCACTCTACCAACCTCCGGGTCAAGGAAGGCGTCGTGGAAGGTGGCACAATGTCCCTATCAACCGCGACGACTCCGGATCGAAAGAGAGAAAAACTAAGAGGGGCTACAAACGGTCGGTGATGTACTGTAAAAGCTTCATTAGCCGCGATCCCCTACATATTACGGGCAATTAGTGTCCCTATCAACCGCGACGACTCCGGATCGAAAGAGAGAAAAACTAAGAGGGGCTACAAACGGTCGGTGATGTACTGTAAAAGCTTCATTAGCCGCGATCCCCTACATATTACGGACAATCCCACGGCAGCGGGTTGTACGACACCGGATTGGCCCGAAACAACAACACTCCAGATTCAGCCAGCGGCTGCCAACCCAGTGTATACATGTTCGTGTTTGTTTATTTTTCTGTATTGGGAGCAGCACATCCCTGAATGCTTGCTCCGGATTCTTTTGGTCCGTGCCGGGCTTGAGGAAAACCCCGGACCATGGTTCTGTACGGTTTGCCAAAAGACCATCCATCATAGATCAGTCTTGGTGCGATGTAATGGATGCAGAGGATGGGTGCATTTTAGGAATTGTTCCGGTTTAACCCGGTTGCGAGACTATAGCGATAGGGACTATGTTGCTTCGTGCTGTACCAACGTAGTCCCCAGTGAGTCCACGACCTCGTCGCCAACTTCCGAGTCGTCGTTGGAGTATGGAACTTCCCCGTAGTCTCCAGAACAGCAACCTTTACCGCAGCACCTAACGCCACATGTTGCTGTTCCAATTCCGGACAATGCATCGTTCTTGCAGTTCAATTCCGGACTCCGAGGTAAAATTGATAAGATAGTGGATTTTATGAATCGGAGAAATATTAAGATCGCAGCGGTGCAGGAAACCAAGCTCAATGAAAATTGTAGCTTACAACATTGCAATGGTTACAACGTATTGAGGAAAGATCGCACCAGAAGTGGAGGTGGGGGATTAGCGTTCCTGTTACACCATTCTGTTCAACACAGACCTATCTCGCTTGAGCTAGTCTCTAGTGACCCATACATGGAGTGTATGGGGGTAGCAGTCAAGTGTGGTACTGCTGAGGTAGAGGTGCTTAATGTGTATATCCCGCCGGTTAATAGCTGTGAACCGCGTTACTTGCCTAATACAAGCCCACTTTTGGAAGGCAATAACCGCCTGGTACTAGGGGACTTCAATGCCCACCATGAGTTGTGGCATTCCGTCCTAGGTAATGACCAGAGGGGATCAGCGTTGGCAGAGCAGATTGACTGCTCCACATTTTGCACGGTAAACGAGGATGCCCCCACCCGAATAGGAGGAGAGTGTCACAGTTCGCCAGATTTAACCATTGTGTCACCCGGTTTGATAAATGACGTGACTTGGCAACCCGTCATTTCTCTTGGCTCAGACCATCTCCCGATAATCGTCTCCATCAGCAGATCGCCCGATTTCATAACCTCTGAACGCTGCACTTTCCTTAACCATGGGAAAGCCCACTGGGCTGAGTTTAGAGAGTTCACCGACCTTCGCTTCAGAGAACTGCCCAATCCTTCTGATGTTCGGGTAGCTGAAAGGATTTTCCGGGACATCATCAAAGCTGCAGCCAACCAATTTTCCCAGCAGAGGCAGCGGGATTAGCTAATGAGCGTGATGAGCTCCGACGTACAAATCCTACTGATCCCAGAGTCAGTGAACTGACAGTGGAAGTCAACCGGTTGGTACAGGAGCATAAGCGGAAAAAGTGGCTAGACCATCTGAAGTGTTGCAACATTGGAACCGATTTGAGTAAACTGTGGGTAACGGTAAAGTCACTCTCGAACCCTGGAAAAAAGGATGATAGGACAGCAGTCGCATTTAACGACGTAACTGTGACTGATCCGAAGAGGTGCGCTGGCTGTTTTAACCGCCAATTTGTCGAGCACCCCGAGAGTGATAGGGCGAGGCGAAGAGTACTACGTCTTATAAGAGCTCTTCCCGCCGAGGATGTACCTCCACAGTTTACGATGGGTGATGTTGCGAATGTCATCCGAAACGCTAAGTTATCTAAAGCGTTGGGCCCGGACGGAATATCAATAATGTTGAAACAACTGGATACGCCGGGAGTTGAGTATCTAACTAAAGTCCTTAACTTGTCGTTAGCCACCCACATAGTTCCCGAAGCCTGGAAAATGGGCAGGGTGGTCCCGCTACTGAAGCCTGGCAAGGATGCCAGGAAAGGCGAATCATACAGGCCGATTTCGCTTTTGTCGCCAGTAGCAAAGACTCTCGAGGCCTTACTCCTCCCCAGTATCAGAGGAAGCTATTCAGTAGCTAACCATCAACACGGTTTCCGTCCACTACACAGCACTACAACAGCATTGCACGCCATATCCACACATATCAGTCGAGGACTCAACCAGAACAGGCCGTGCCACAGAACAGTAGTGGTGGCTCTCGACCTATCAAAGGCCTTTGATACGGTCAACCATGCCACGCTGTTCAAGGACGTTGAGAACCCTCCGGCCAAGTTTGAAATGTTGGATAGTCAACTATATGTGTGGACGCCAGTCGTTCCGGAATAAGAAGACCAAGCCTCGTAGAGTGAAACAGGGAGTTCCCCAAGGTGGGGTGATATCTCCGGAACTGTTTAACCTCTACCTTTCCGGAATTCCGCGCCCTCCAGACGGCATCGAGATCGTAACTTATGCGGATGATTTTACGATCATGGCGTGGGGCCTGTAGTTGATGACATATGTGTCAAGGTGAATAACTATCTCGCGGAGCTTACCGCCTTCTTCCATGCGAGGAATATGAAAATATCCGCCACTTAATCGACGGCCACACTATTTACCACATGAACTGCGGAGATGAGAACATAGCTGAATGTGCAGGTCGAGGGGCACATAATTCCGACCACCAACTACCCCAAAAACCTTGGGGTCACATTCGATAGCATGTTCAAGTCTTCCGCGTAAGCCACAGCTATTTGCGATAAAATGAAAAGTAGGAACAAGGTCCTTAAGGCGCTAGCCGGCAGCACTTGGGGTTCGGATAAGGAAAACTTGTTGGCCTCTTATAAAGCGATAGGTCGGTCTGTGGTTAGCTATGCGGCTCCAGTGTGGTCGGCGAATACAAGTGCAACGCAGTGGAAAAGTATTCAGACCTGCCAGAATGCCGCCCTGAGAACTGCAACAGGGTGCCTACTCATGACTCCTGTGGACCATTTACATTCCCTTACGTCAGCATAATCATATGCTTTCGTTGCAGTACTTGCTTGGGTGTTATCGTGGGAGTCACCCTAACCACCATATGGTGGATAGAACTCCACCACCCAGGCGTGTCAGGAAGGACCTGCATGATCTAGAGAGAGAGGTCCAGCGATATAAGAGAGAGCCCCTAGAGCATGAAGCCTATGAAGCGGGTCTGAATGGCATTCATACTGATGCATGTAGGTTTTTTAAATAATATTGTTTAAAATTGTAAAAAATATTGTCGTACAAAAGTAGAAGCAGGGTAAATGATTGGCTCGATACGGTGCATTGACTAACATACGGACTTTATAAACCCTCAGTCATATGGCTACGGAAGTTATATAACATTTAATAAGACCAAAGCGTGCCTCATCGAAATAATTGTTTTAGTCCATAGGTCTCTTTGGACCAAATCCGTTTTAGGACATTTGGAGTAGATCTAGGGCTGTCAATCTGGCAGGCTGGTGCGCACGACAACTCTCGAAGGGAGTATCCGATTTGGTTCAAATTTGGTACATCGTAATATTACTGTCAAACCTATATCGAGATCGGTGCACTCATTCTAGTACACCAAATTTCGTGTGCTTCAATATTTCTGTTACCCACTGATCAAATAGATATTTTGATCCACTTCTTCTGGTTAAACTTTTGACAAACAATTATACCAATCGAATTGTAAATAAGTGTTAGATTTTCTTTAAATTTTACAAATCCCAATATTTGTATCAATATTAGAAGAAGTGAAATACTTCGGTCTACTAATCTGGTACCATCGTGCACATATGAACATTTTCCAAAATTTATCACATATTTTATATACATAGAACTAAACATCGATTAATTGGTGAACATTTTCTTTCCATATTGGGTAGATCTTTTAAGAAAACATTTAAAAATAATAGAAGTCGGATTAAGTATACAAACGAGGATTATTCTAAAACGCTAATGCCACAAAAAATTCCGATATCGGGAAGTACCATAATATGGGGGATATAGAAAAACTTGGACTTATATAGACAACGTTCCGTCAAATGATCCCATACAAAATGGGATGTACCGTTATATGGGGGCTATATGAAAACGTGAAAATATACATACATAATAAGAAAAAAATATACCGAATATGAAACAATTCAATTAGAAAATGTTATGTAAATCGTTAAAATTATTAAGTTTTTCTCCCTTTACGCCCAATAAAGAGTTTTAAATTAATATTTCTTATAAGAGAATAAATACTGTTGTAACCTTCGGACGTTCGAAGCATTCTATTTTGGGAAACCGAACAGATCAGATAACCGATTTTTTTTGCTTAAGCACCAAAAAAACGTGAAGTGGCCGCAATTTTTTCTTTATTTTTTTTCATCAATTGAAAACAACTAAATTTCTCATATCGCTTATATATTTAAAATTTATTACTTTTTAACTTACCAATGATTGAACAAGGAAATTTCTTTGATGGCGTAAGTCACAAACTGTATTAAATATTGATACTTGGTCTTCTTCTTCTAATTGTTGCAATAAAGAATCTAATGCCACCAATGTTCCGGTTCGACCGACTCCTGCGCTGCAGTGAACCAATATTGGACCCCGTTGCACTGAATAGACAGCGTTTATATGACGTACAAATTTTATTAGAGCATGTGGATGTTCTGGGGCCATGAAATCTTTCCAAACTAAGTAATGGTATTGTGTTATTTGTCTACTCTCTTCCTCTTCGACGTTTAATGTGTTTCTCTTAAATATGTCTAGTATCCGAATTAAATAATCGCCTTGCTTCTTTTCCGATACGAACTTCACCGTTATATCACCGAACTGCTTTAAATCCATAATTTTTTCCGGCCAATACTTAGCACATTTAGTCTTATTGTACTCTTCTAAATTTGTAAGCATTACTATTATTTCTAAATGCTGTTCCCATATCATTCTCCAGAAATCATTAATTGTTGATTCCATTGGACCTTGTGCGCATATGAACTTTTTTCTTTCCTTGTACCCTATTACAAAATTTGCATTTATGTAGTCGGAGCCCTGAATACCATTTACTTGAGAAAGTTTGACTCTGGTTTGATCATAAGCCTTGATATCAGGATAGCGATTCTTCGTTGTATTTTCTTTCATATCAGAATTCTTAGTTGTCCGATCATTAAATCGGTTTGGTAGCATTTCATATTCCCGCAAAAATCCATAATCTGTATCTTTATGGCGATTTTTATATGCAACATACAAATCTGATTTATGAATCGGTCCCACATCCGTTATTTTCCCGTTGCTTGTGCCAATGAAATGTCTATGATTGCCTGATCGACCGCCAAATAGAACACGACTAAAAATAAAAGCATGTAAATAAAATAAATATCATTATTTCCTAACTTACCTTAAAGAATCTCTTAAACTTATAACTTCTTCAGTCCCTCCAGAATTTTTCTCCGTAAATCGATAGTAAACGAAGCAAAATATTAACAATATTATCAGACCGATACCAATTATTATTGCGAAAGGCATTATTATTAAAGCTATTAATGCTATTCCACTTTCTGTATACATTTGTTCGGCGGCCAAACTAGGTGTTATAATTTCGAAGTAACTGCTATATGCTCTCAGAACTGATGTATTATTGCGAACTGAAACGAAATATTACAAATGTAAGAATATGAAAATAAAATTTCGCGCTATATTAAAAAGTATTTTAGAGAATATAACTCAATAGTTTTTCGTTTCTGTACTTTGTGGGCAAACCTTTTCTCTCAGAGTGGATGTAAGGAATATCTTACTAGTTTTACCTGTACATTTTAAGTACAGGAACACAACAGTAGTTAAAAATAGCAAAGTCTGAAAATAGTTTCATGCTGCTTACTATACGCATTCAAACAATAGTTTATAACAGGTAATAAAATATATTACCAATAACTTCCAAAAAACCAGTATAATCGCTATTCATATCAATTTCGCCGTCGTATATGTCATATATATTTCCATGAATTGTATATTCCGTAGCTTGATTATCCGATTGCATTTTATCATCGCGTTCCATAATGATATGAGAATTTTCTCTCCGTTTTCTTCTGGTTCCCAAAATTTGTGTTGCTGATTCAGTAAGATTACTGGCATTGCTAAGTTCAGCGTGATGACTGTGATCTGGATCACTGTATGTATCTATAATAAAGAATATAACGTTATAAGTATGTTATTATAGACATTTGCGTGTTTAATAATATTCTTATAAAGAAGTTTCGGTCCTGCGCAATGAATACAATATCATAATTAATCCATATCTATGAAATCTTAAACATTTTTATGATTTTTTATATTTTACCTTTATTTTATTTATTAACTAGCTGGACCGGTCTGCGTTGCCGGCCCGTAGTTTTTGTCTATTATGCATATTTGTCAAAGCATAATTATTCACAGATATGACTGATATAAGAGTTCACGTACTGGTCGATTAAAAGTGTTTTAAAATACTTGTACCCATATTTAAGCCGTGGGCTTCAATATTTAAACCGTGGGCTTCAAATGTGTGGATGTGCTATACAAATTTTTTAAACCCATTAACATCTTAGACTGTGCATTAGAGTCCTCATAGTCCCCCTAACCATGTCGGTCTGTTTGTCCGCCAAAAGGTGGACTTGAGGGGGTACTATTACATGGAGAAAATTCTAAAATTTTTAAATATGTTGTAATTTTTGTGTAAGAGTTTCACCCCCAAATACATATTTTTAGCCAAATCCTTTGAAATATGGTAAAATCAGGTACCTTTATATAAGGTATCTTGAATGTTTGGGAAGAATTTTTGGAAGGATAGAAATTCTTTTTCTTAATAATAGTCCCATTCGCTCTACTACTGGACAAAGTAGTTACTACGCTTATAACTTAAGAACCGCTGCATTGATTTTAACGATTCATACAAATTCGGAATTGTCTCTGGTCCGAAAAGGATAATATCCAAAAAAAATGGATATTTATTTGTTTTTTTAATTTTTTTTATCGTTTTGTGTATGTTGGTTTCGGCTCAGAAATTTCTTCTATTCGTTTTCTTGTTGATTCTTTGGTTTGTTGATTCTTTGATTGAAATATTTAACAAAACAAGTAAGCACAAGAAAAATTTTTCGGGTATAAAAAGATCGTCATCAAATTTCAAATTGTAGATAGTTGGGAATACGTAACGCAAACTTACAACATTTTTAAACATACTTTTTGTAAATCATGAAATATCGCAAGCACTGAGCAGAAATCCTTGAAATATTATACTAATTTTACTTCCGCAATTGATATTGTTGTATTTTTGGAGTTGAAAGTGAATAAGTTCTGTTCGTTAAATTGAAAAATTCGTTAAATCGAGTGCTATTTATAAGAAGGCTTGTTGACTCCGAAGCTATTGAAATAAGAACTCTTATATGGTTTGAACAATACCTTTATTACAATTTTAATTTAAAACCAAGTTATCAATAAACTAAATGGAATTGATATGCATTTTTATTGAAAATGTTATATCTAAAAACAAAAAAAAAAATATATTTTTCTACTAAAGCAATTCTATTTTGAATATAATAATTTTTGTTTGTATTTATTATCATCACATTGGTATACATTTTTCAAAAGGTTTGTTTTTTTCAAAATGTTGTTGCAAAATTGTCAGGCTTAATATATATATATATATATATATATATATATATATATATATACATATATATATATATATATATATATATATGGGCCGATTTGCATAATGTTATATATATATATATATATATATATATATATATATATATATATATATATATATATATATATATATATATATATATATATATATATATATATATATATATATATATATATATATATATATGGGCCGATTTGCATAATGTTTTGTACAAACGTTCATCATAACCCGAGTTAGGTTTTTAAAGAAAACAAGTTAAAAATCAGTAAGCTCGGCGGTGTCGAACTTTGAATATTCTCCACCAATTGGAACGAATTTGTAAATTTTCAATAAATAAAATCCTTAAAAAATTCTGTTAACATTTTAAAAGTACCGAATATTGCCGTTATATTGGGGTCTATACGACGTGGACCTACATAGGCATTGTTTGCCATTAGCCATTGCCATATTCAAATTCGAAACTTGAAATAAACGGTGAATAATGTAGTTAAAATCGTCAAAATATCGTATATAGCGATTTACCGTTATATCGGAGCTGTGCAAGGACCTGGGCCAGTATAGACAATTTTCTGTCACAGGCTATAGCATCCATTACGAACGTCAAATACGACATCTCAAAAAATTTCGGTGGGTATTGTACCTACCGAATATAGGGAGGTACTGATCAGAGGGCTGCGATGAGTATGATCGAGTAGGCTTGATCACACACAGTGGAAATACAATCAAATTCAATCAGTCGGTCAGATGTAACATGTTCATTCGAGTTGCTCAAGTCATACGATAAAGTTGTGATCAAACATGTATTTATCGAAGTTTTGTGTTCACAATCAAACAGCTCACATGAGTTATTTGTTTACGAACTTATGTTGAATTGTTCATAACGGGTCGATCATGTATGATGAGTCTGATCGGTTTTATTTATCCTAGTTAAGTGAGTGATTTGATTTGATTAAAACACAAATGTTCGAATCTGAGCGAAATCATGATTGTAATTTTACTAAGGATTTCATAACTAAAAGCTGTTCCCATTAAAGAAATTGGTGCAAATTATATTTAATAAACATAACATTTTTTCATTTTATTTGGGTTTTTCGTATGTTAGACCTCAGTAACTTATTAAAAAGAAAAAAAAAAATAATAATATTTTTAATAAAGAAACACATCATTGGTATTTAGTAAACTAAAAATGTTTAAATATTTTTTTTTTTGTTACAATATTGGTCAAGATTTTTCACAAACTTCGACCATTTCGTTTACCTACCCGTGTGTAGTTTCTACTTGCATCAATTTCGGTCACACTACCACAATATTTATTTATTTATTTATTTATTTCATACCATAATACTAAACCCTCCAAGGCCAATGAATAGTATTAATAACGTAATTATGCTCCAAGTAGAAAATAATAACTTAAAACTAATATTCTTCCATTTCAAATATTAAAAAAGTTAAAATAAACTGCCCCAACTTGATTGAATGGTTGAATAAACAATGACGCTGAGCGAACTCGATTCAAAGAAGACAATCACGGTTGTGATTGCTCATTTACATTCATGTGTTCGATCAACTCATGTTGCTGAACACATCAAACCGTCTCGAACACTCATTGTTGATTGTGAGTGAAGTGATTCAAACTGAGCGTTCGATTCGATCCGAAGCGAAAACGGTCATTTCATTCAGATCAAACTAAACGACAGCATCAACAAAAATCAGGTACGAAACCGAGTGTGCTTGAATTTTTGGATACTCGTTGCAGCCCTCTGGTACTGATATATGGGGCCTATACGAAGACCTGGGCCTGCATAGGCAATTTTCTATCACAGACTGTAGTTCCCATTACGAACTCTAAATACGTAATTTGAAAAAATTCCGGTGAATAATACCGAATTTTGGGAGGTACCGTTATATGGCGTCTATACGAAGATGTGGACCTGCACCGACATATTTCTGCTTTATGCTGTAGTATTCATTACGAACTTCATCAACCAAAGTTGAAACAAATTCGGTGAATAATGTCGCTAAAATCATCAAAATACCGAATATCGGGATGTACTGTTATATGGGGGCTATATGAAAACTTGGACCTACATGGCCCATTTACGAACTTAACCTGCCTACTGGAAAAATAAACACGTGTGCAAAATTTTAGCCTTCTATCTCAATTCGTTCGAAAGATAGCGTGATTACAAAAGACAGACAGATAGATGGACATGGCTAAATCGATTTAGAATTTTACGCTGATCAAGCATATATATACTTTGTTGGGTCTGACATTAGTATTTCGAGGAGTTACAAACGGAATGACAAAGTTAATATACCCTCCATAGTATGGTGGAGGGTATAAAAATATTGACTACGCTTACTTTCACGCCCACTATTTCGATTTATCTAAAATGCTTATATTTGCCAAAATTATGAAGATATCGGTTTGAAAATTATTACACGACATACTGTTGGCTTTCCATCCAATACTAAGTACTTACTTTAGGGCTGAGGAACTGACCACGCCTACTTTTTAATCTATAATACAAATCAATTGTTGTTTGTTTGTAATTGAATCAGTTGAGAACGGCTCGACCGATTTGGATATATATATTTTTTAATGTTCGTCCTACCCCGAGTTAGGTTTTTATGTAAAAAAAATGACCACGCCTACTTTTCAATCAAATACCAAATATGAAACAATTCCGGTAAATAATATCGCTAAAATCAACAAAATGCCAAAGATATGGAGGTACCATTATATGGAGGCTATAAAAAAACGTGGACCTGCACAGACAATTTTCCGTCATTGGCTGTAGTATCCGCTACGAAATTCTAATACCAATTTTGAAATAATTCCAGTGAATAATGTCGCTAAAATCATTAAAATACCGAATATCGGGAGGTGCAGTTATATGGAGGCCATATGAAGACGTGGACCTGCACTAACAATTTTCTGTCATTGACTGTGCTATCTATTATGAACATCAAATACCAAATTTGAAAAATTTTTGGTGAATAATGTCGCTTAAATCACCAAAATGCCGAATATTGGGAGTTACTATTATATGTGGGTTATACCAAAACGTGGACGTACATGGCACATTTTCGAAAAGTCCTAAATCGACTTAGAATTGTATGCTGATCAAGAATATATATACTTTGTGGGGTCTAAAATGTATATTTAGAGGTTTTACGAACGGAATGACAAACTTAATATACCCTCCATATTATGGTGAAGGGTACAAAAAAATTTAAAACATATATACAAGTGTACATGCAAAGATTCCTTCATTCATCATAAATATTGTGCACCTTAAACAAATGTGTTGGAAAGAATACAACAATAAACCACAAAATAAAGAAAACATCGATAAGCGCTAACCGATGTTATTTGTAAATTGACTAAAGTTAAAAACATAATAGAAGAATTTAGGAAATCGCGTCGACTCAGCTACTGGAACAATGAACTGTCAAACCAATTTTAGAAATTACATTTTTGAATAAA